TACGTCATAGAGCAAAATCATACAGCCTGATTAAAAAATGAAAGTAAAGAGTTTCAGTGAGGAAATAGAAGCAGCTGCAGCTGGGGAAACACTTCACAGAGTTGTAAAATGCTCCGAGGAGTAGTAAAAGGCATTTAGGAAATTTATACTGTTAAAGCAGGAACTGACAGCATAATATTCTGATTGGTTTACAGTGATTGAGGTCAGTCAAAGGCGGGACAAAGCAAAAATTTTTAACATCATTGGTTACATTAATACATCTAGAATACATTGATTGGCTAAAAGACATAATTGTAAGATATGTGGTCACGGAGGGGGTCTTATGAATAGTCACGAAACAATGACATGATTGGAAGATCCCATCACTGGTTATAAAACAATGGCATGATGGATTCTTTCAGGAACAGGTTGTTACCCAGAGCATCTCCCCAGAAGATCTGAAACAAAGAGTTTTTATAAGGACTCCATGATTCACAGTATCTACATTCTTAGGCTGATCACAAAGTAAAACATTTACTTAATGATAGGGTTGGTTCTTAAGGAACAGGGTTTGGAACAGGGTTTGAAGCTATGTGAAAGGTTATACTGAGCCTTTAGCATTAGTTCAGCCATTTTACTTTTAGGTCAGATGCCTCTTTTGATTTTATATTCTATATCATACACATATTTACAAAGGAAATAAATATATTTTTTTTCCTTACTTGTTACACAAAAGGTGGTATACTAAAACCATTATTCTGTATTTTGCTTTTTTACTTATCAATGTATCTTGGAGACCACTTTTTAATCAGTCCACAGAGAGCTTCCTCATTAGGCTTACCTTTTGTTAAAGATACATATTTAAATGATAATTTTTCATTAGCAAAATCTACAGTTTCTCAGGATTTCTATTCTTTCCAAAACATAATGATAACCTAAGATTTTACAACTTGAAGTTCATGCCACCACATATTGTTATTATTAATACAATTTCAAGTTCAATATTTTACACAAACAGAGCATTTAAAACACGTTTGATTAAATTAATTGTTTTTACAAATTCTGTGCTCACAATGTTTTTATTTTCTCTACATTTATTTCTTTTCTTGCTGAAATAAATTTTTAATAACTCTTTTAGTGTGAGCAAGTGGGTGATAGGTAAAATATCTTAGCCTTTCTGTGTCTGAAAGTGTCTTTATTTTATTTTCACTTTGAAATGATAGCTAGATATATATTTCTTTATGCATTTTGAAGATATTAGCTCCCTTTGGAAGATATCGGAGCCTTGGTGGTGCAGTAGTTAAGAACTCAGCTGCTAATCAAAATGTTAGCAGTTCAAATCCACCAGCCGCTCCTTGGAAACCCTATGGGGGCAGTCCTACTCTGACCTATGGGACTCCATGGCAACCGATTTGGTTTCTTTGGTTTTTTGATGATCTTAGCAGAAGTCAACTGTCAGTGGAATCGTTATTCCTTTATAAGTAAGTATTCTTTCATTTCTCTCTTTCTAAAATAAAACAAACAAAACAAAACCTGTTGCTGTTAAGTCGACTCTGACTCACAGTAACCCGATAGGACAGAGTGGAACTGCTCCACAGGGTTTCCAAGGAGTGGCTGGTGTATTCTATCTGCTGATTTTTGGTTAGCAGCTGTAGCTCTCTGTAGCTCTTAACCACTGCGCCACCAGGGCTCTCTCTTTTCTCTCTAGCAGGTTTTAAAGATTTCCTCTTTGTCCTTGATGTTCTGAAATTTTCCTACAATGTGTCCAGATATGGATTTATTTTTATTTATTCCACTTTGTGGTTGCAGGACATTTTCAATATGAAGACACATGTCTTATACATGTCTGGATTATTATCAACTTTTTTTCAATATTACTTCTCTAATAGGGCAATTATTTTATAAATAATTTTAGATACATATTGAAGCTTAACTTTTCAACTATCCTCCATGTCTCTTATATGACATTTTATATTTTTAAATTGGTTTATCTTTCTGTTTTGTTTTTTACTAGATTTGTTTGAATAGTCTTCTAATATCCATATCTTTTCTGTATCTAGCATAAATTTTATCTTGGCTTTTTAAAGTTTGTATCATCTTTTTTTTTAATGCTCTTTCTCCTTTTCATCTATTTCTGATTCACAGAATTTTTGTTTCCAATGAGTGCTTTTCCATCATTTATGTCTTACAGCATTCTGAAGTCCATCAAACTGTTTAATTTCACCTGAAATAAATTTATAATTTTATTAAAAATCATTATTATCATTAAATATTGTCATATGCTTTAGAATTTAATTTAAAGGGAGATTGTTTTGTTTGTTTGCTTTCATTCTATCCTATCCCTACCCCACCCCCTTCCTATCTAGAACTTTTGCTTTGTTTTGTTTTTTGTTTTTGTTTTTGTCTCTTCCAGGCCAGAACTAAATCTAAAGATGGAGTTTAAAGGCTGCTTTCCTGTGGAGACAATAAGGTAAATCTAGTCAACAAGCCAGTGGGCAGCTTGGCTGTTCTGGTGAGACTGTGTTCACTCATCTCCTTGACCCACTGTTTCCTCTAAAGCTCCAAATATGGACTGAAACAATTTTTAAAAGTAAAATTCATAAACAAGTTGGCCTAACATCAGGCCCACTTTTCACATCTGGTTCTTCAGTCCCTCAGGGGCCACCCTCTTGGTTGCCACTGTGTTTCCAGACTCATAACCTAGTTATTAGCCTTTTGTCTATTACTTCCATCTCTTTCTCCTTTTATTTTGCATCCCTGGGCATTTTAAAGATTAGAGAGACCTAGCCTGGGAGGCTGAAGACTTTGTTTTCTTATCTAGAGTCCCTGACTCTGACTTGCTCCATAGTTTCAGCAAGTTGTTTCATCTATCTAGGTCTAAATTTTCACTTTTGTAAATTAGATATAATTATTTCTGTTCTTGGGAGTCCCTGGGTAGCTCAAATAGTTAAAAGTTCAACGATTAGGTGAAAGGTTGGCAGTTTGAACTTATTCAGAGGTGCTTCAGAAGACAGGCCTGGCAATCTGCTTCTGAAATGTCACAGCATTGAAAACCCTATGGAGTAGTTCTACTCTGCACATTTGGGGTTGCCATGAGTCAGAATAGACTCAGCTTGATTGCAGCTAACAACAACAACAATTGCTATTCTTGCTTTCATAAAAATGGCTAACTCTGATTTATCATTCATTTTAAATGTAACTTCTTCAAGAATAGAGTATATACTTTTTTATTTATTAGCAATTACCAAAACTGGAAAAACCTTATGGATGATTGTGAGGATGGCACAGGACTGGGTAATGTTTCATTTTGTTATACCTAAGGTTGCTGTAAGTTGGAGCCGACTCAAGGACATCTAACAACAGCAATAACTAATTATAAATTAATTTCCATTTTAATGTCTGTATCCTCAACTCTCTTAGGAACACCTTAACGGCAGGGCCTGAACAGTATCTGTTTTGTTCATCATATTATTCATAGGGCTTATGCATCTGGAATATAGTGAGATCTGAGTAAACATGTATTGAATTTCATGAGTAGATGGATGGATGGATAGATGGATGGATGGATATCTTTAAGATGTTAGGAATAAAAGTATTTTGAGATCTTACTAGGAATTTCTAAAGAATTGAAAGACTCCTTGTAGTAACCATTTGATTCTCTACTGACAAGGGCTAGTCAGGTGTGTAAATAACCCTTAATACTAGGTGTGGAGCCTTGGTGGTGCAGTGGCTAAGAGCTCAGGTTGTTAACCAAAATGTCAGCAGTTCGAATCCACTAGTCTCTCATTGGAGACCTTGAAGGGCAGTTCTACTCTGTTCAATAAGGTCATGATGAGTCAGAATCAACTCAACTGCAACGAGTAATACTAGGTGTGATGGTTAATTTTATGTGTCCACTTAGCTAGTCTATTGTGCTATCATGGATTGAATTGTGTCCACCCCAAAAAATATGTGTATCACTTTGGCTACACCATGATTCCCAGTATTGTGTGATTGTCCACCATTTTGTCATCTGATGTGATTTTCGTCTGTGTTTTAAATCTTACCTCTATGATGTTAATGAGATAGAATAAGTGGCAGCTGTGTTAGTGATGCAGGACTCAATCAACAAGATTGGGTTGTGTCTTGAGACAATCTCTTTTGAGATATAAAAGAGAGAAGGGAGCAGAGAGACCGAGGGACCTCATACCACCAAGAAAGCAGTGCAGGGAGCAAAGAGTGTCCTTTGGACCCTGTGTTCCTGCACAGAGAACCTCCTAGTCCAGGGGAAGATTGATGACAAGGACCTTCCTCCAGAGCTGACAGAGGGAGCCTTCCTCTGGAGCTAATGTCTTCAATTTGGACTTCTAGCCTACTAGACTATGAGAGAATAAACTTCTGTTTATTAAAATCATCCACTTGTGGTATTTCTGTTACAGCAGCACTAAATAACTAAGATGTGCCAAGTTGTTTGGTTGAACACTGGACTAGATGCTGCTGTGAAGTATTTACATGTGATTAGCATTTAAATCAGTTGGTCCTAAGTAAAACAGATTACCCTCCATAACATGGGTGGGCCTCATCCAGTCAATTGAAGACCTTGAGAACAAAACCAGAGGTTTCTCCAGGGTGCATTTGGCCTTCACGCTATAAATAGACATTCTGTCACAATTCCCCTCTCTCCTCCACTGCCTGACCTAACAATCTGGAATGTGAGACTGCTGGAATTTCTAGCTTGTTGCCTGACCTATGGATTTTGATTCACGAGCCCCTACAATGGCATGAGTCAATCCCTCATAATAAATCTCTCTCTCTTTCTCTCTCTCTATGTGTATATATATATATATATATATATATATATATACACACTGTCAGCTATATACCAGACCCCCTCCCCCACGTCTGTCAGATTGTTGTACTGTGAGGGTTTGCATGTTGTTATGATGCTGGAAGCTATGCCACCGGTATTCAAATTGATACAGTGTCTGCAACAATAGGCTAAGCATAACAATGATTGTGAGGATGGTCCAGGACCTGGCAGTGTTTCATTTTGTTGTACGTAGAGTTACTATGAGTAGGAACCAACTCGACCGCACCTAACAACAACAACATATACCAGACACTCTGTACTGTGGTTTACGTACCTTGTCAGTAATTCTCAAAACAACCTACAAGAAAATATTTTTTAGTAAATAACGAAATTAAAATACAGAGAGGTTGAGTTACTTTCTTAAAGCCAGGTAATTAATAAGTGACTGGAAGTATTGAGATTTAAACTCAGATATATCTGGTATTAAAAAAAAATGCTTTTCTCACTGTCCTGATCAAAGAACTGTATCCTGAGTCATTTCTGATCCTGAATCGTAACCTGTTACTTCCCTAATAAGCCCCATAATTGTGATTAAAAATTTAAAAAAATGTTTTTCTCCACTACTCCAGTATTTTCCAGTGTAATTCATAAATGATTTGAATATATAAAATAACTACCAGGAGTACATGAAAAATCATTTAATTTTTGTTCTAAAAATTATGCATTTATTTAAGAGGTATTATTACTTAGGACATGATTAAATGCACTTATGTTAAACCAAGTAAATTTGAAAAAATACATATTATTATAAATGAAAGGCATATTTGACAAAAATCCCAAGTGTGGTACACAAACATCTGAGATGTAGAAAATCACTTCATACATCAAGTTGCTAGAGAGAAAGTGTACCTTTTCTGTCCTTGTTCTACAAGTTGCATGTAATTCCATCACAGAGTATAATGGCCAGAGTAACTCTGAAAGCTAGGAAGCACTTGCCCCAGCCCCAGTATCCCATGTAGAAAAACATTAAGTGCTTGATTCCTCATCTCCAGTCGCTGCTAATCTTGTGGACCACCACATCCCCAGCCCCACACTCAACCTGCCCCACACCCCTTCACCCCAGAATTCTTGCTCTCTTGAGCTGCCTCCTCACAGCTTCCTTGATCTCCTTGTTGCGCAAGCTGTAGATGAATGGGTTGAGGAAAGGTGTGAGTACCGAATAGACCACTGCCAGGGCCCAGTCATAGTCCAGCGAGTAGCTCTTCTTCAGTCGTACATACATGAAGAAGATGCTCCTATAGAAGATAAGGACCACAGTGAGGTGGGAGGCACACGTGGAGAAGGCTTTCTGCTTGCCTGCAGTAGAGGGAATCCTGAGCACAGTGAGGATGATCTGCACATAGGAGGTGAGGATCAGCAGGAAGGTGGCCAGGATCTTGCAAGAGTTGATAATAAAGTCCACCAGGACATTGATAGAGGTGTCAGTATAGGCCAAGCTCAGCACAGGAGGTAAATCACAAAAGATGTGCTGAATGTGATTTGGGCGACAGAAAGGGAGATGAGAAACCAAGGAAATTTCAGCCACTGGCCCAGCCAAGCCTCCCAGCCAACAGCCAACAGCAATCTTGGTACAGAGTTCTGGGGTCATGAGGGTGGGGTAGTGGAGGGGCCGGCAGATGGCTAAGTACCTGTCATAAGCCATGACCGTAAGGAAGTAGCACTCAGTAGCCCCGAGGGAGTGAAAGAAATAGATCTGCAGGAGGCAGCCAGAGAAAGAAATGGCCTTCTTCTCACTGAGCAAGTTGGCCAGTATCTTGGGGATTGTGGCAGCTGTGTAGCCAAACTCCAAGAAGGAGAGAGTTCTGACAAAGTGGTACATGGGTGTGTGGAGCTGGGAGTCCAGATGGACCACTAGGAATATCAGCATATTTCCCAGTATAGTGGTGAGGTAAATTAGAAGTAGCAAGATAAATAAGTAAGTCTGAACACCCTGGAGATGAGGGAAGCCTAAGATGATGAACTCTGTTACCGGGCTCCAGTTACCAGTGTCCATTGTTCACCATTCATGTCCCTAGAATGTAATGTATGGACAGATGTGGAAAAGAGTTGAGTCACAGAAATCCCAACAAGAAAGTGATCCTCAAACTACTTTTGTCCTTCCCCCAACCTTTATAGTAAATGCTTTGAGAGGCCAGCATTTCAATTTTCTCCCTCAACATCCTCCTTCAGAGTAACCAAAAAACCCATTGTCATCTAATCAGTTCTGACTCATAACAATCCTATAGACAGAGTAGAACTGCCCCATAGGGTTTCCAAGGATGTAATCTTTATGGAAGCAGATTGTCACATCTTTCTCCCACAACAGCTGGTGGGTTCAAACCAAGATCTTTCGGTTAGCAGCAGAGTGCTTAACCACTGTACCACAAGACCTCCTTTTCCTTCAGAGTACCCACCCTTATAATTAGATTTAAAATACCTTTCCTGATTAACCTAGACCATTTTTGGCCCCCGATATTCATTCTGTAATGCAGTTGTTCTCCTTAGCAGAATCCATATAGATTTTAGAATTTTAAGTATTCCTTGTCCAAGATATATATAATCATGTATACGTATTTCTTGTATAAGATGTAAAGTATACAAGCCCTGGTAGCACTATGTTTAAGCACTTGGCTGCTAACCAAAATGTCAGTGGTTCAAACTCTCCAGTGGTTCTGTGGGAGAAAAGACCTGGTGTTCTGTTCCCAGAAGATTATAGCCTAGGAAACCCTATGGGACAGTTCTACTCTGTCCTGTAGGGTCACTATGAGTTGGAATTGACTCAACGGCACATAACAATAACAACATACATGTTTCTTGTCCAAGGTGTAAATTATCGTTTATACTTATAAAATATTGCTAATGTACTGGAACAAGGGTACATAATTAGAATTATATTTTTTAATTTCAATTTATTTTTTCACAATTCTGGCTATCAAGGATTAAGTTCTGCATCCTTATCTTCCTTCCATTTCCTTTATGGGATTCTAGTTCTAATATCATCTTCTAGGGTCATGTAGATCAGATTTTGAACTTGTTCGGAGACTGGTGAGAATCCCAGTCAAGATTTCAGATAAATAGAAGAGCCATAAAGGGCAGGAGGCAAATCTGTAGATTATGCATTTCTACTCTAAATAGTGGCCACTTAATCTTTTCTATCACTTTTCATCTCTACCAATCTCAAACACACTTTTCTGATTTATTGCTTCCCAGATGGTAAATGGCGTTTATATTACAATGTAACAAAAATTTATTGAGTGCTTTCTGTATTCCAGGCATGATACTTAGAATATTTAGAATAGGGGCTAAATAAGTAAATAAGATGTTAAGAAATCGTATTTTAATTTTAAAAAGGCCACTAATTACCATGCATCTCTTTGCTTTAACATTCTGGTAGCATAGAAACATTACTTACGTAACAAACAAACAACAAAAACCCCTTCCCCTCCAATTCTATCTCTTGATCTACTTACCCTACAATCATGGATCAATTTCCACCACCCTCGCCACCCAAAACTCCTCAAAAGAGTTGCCTATATTCATCAGCTCCAGTTCTTTCCTTTCAATTCATTCTTAAGCCCATCCTAATTAGACTTTCACCACAACCACACCATCAAAACTTCCCTTCTCATAGATACCAATTACCTAAGATTTGTTAAATCCAAAGGTCATTTCTCATTCCTCAGTCTACTTGAATTATCCAACCCTCTTGAGATAATTTCTTCACTTGCTTCCCAGAGTACTATACTTTTTTTTTTTTTTTTTAACTACCTAACTGGTCACCTCTCAGCCTTTAGTTTTCTATCTAAATCGACTCTTTGTTAATATCATACAGTGTCATTTCTTTGAACACCATCTATGTGAGGAAGACTACTCAGTCAACACTTCTTTCCTTCATTCCAGAATCGTATTCAACTTCTTACTCACATCTCCACTTGAGTGTTTAATAGGCATCTCAAACTAAAGTTGTCTGGGCTCTACTCAGTCTTCTCCATCTCAAGTGATGGCAATTGCAAACTTTGAGCCACTGATCCAAAACACTTCCAGTCAGCATTGTATCTATCTTTCTCTCATATATCCACCATCTGACTATTTGTCATCAGCTTAATTTGATCCACCATCATCTCTCACCTAGATTACTGCAATAGGCTCCTAACACATATCCTTACTTCTAATCCTTGTCCTCCTACAACCTAATCTCACCATAGCAACCAGAGTGATCCTTGTAAATTGTAAATCAGGCTTTGCCACTGCTCAGATCTGTTCAGTTCCTTGAACATAATAGGTGTGTGTTTGTCTTAGAGCCTTTGCTGTAGCTGTTCCCTCTTCCTAGAATACTCTTCCACCAAATACCCCTTGGATAATTCCTACACTTATTTTTAGTCTTTGCTCCAATCTCACCATCTCAACATGCCCCACCTGGACCACCCTATACAATACTGCAAACCGCCCCCTCCCCTATATCCATATCCAGTACAGTTTTCACATTTCCCTACTTTACTTTTAATTTTTTCCATAGTATTTATCATTTTCTAATGTACTTTATTATTCCTATTATTTATTATTTCTCTTCTGTGAGAATGTCAGCTCTTTGAGGGCAAGAAATTTTATGTTTTGTTCACTGGTTTATCTCAAGTGCCCAGAGCAGTGTATGGAGCATGATAACATCTCAATAAATATTTGTTAAGTGAATAAGCAAATTTAGTAAGATAAATGCTAATTTACATATACGGTACTTGTTAGAAGAGCAGTAAAGGAGTCACAGGCTGGATACGAAGATCATGAAGGTCTCACAGAAGAGGTAATTTTTATCTAGGAATGAAGGAAGAGTCAGAATTTGCCAGATGGAGCGCTATTCTAGGCACAAAGCAGTACTTGTATAAAGCAAAGAAGTATAAAAGACACCAAGCCTCTTCTATCTTCCAGCCCCCTTATCATGTTTTGCCTCTCCAGGATCCACTAATCTGATCCAAACTAACTTCATTTACTCTGCTTCTCCCTGGCATACACTTTCTACTAATCCCAGGCAACTTGCCCACTCCTCGTATCAAAGCCTTTTCTCATTTGGAGACTTAAGAGAGAATAATTCTCTACTAAGATGCCAAAGGACTACTTCTGGACAGATCTCTTATACTGGTGACCTTGCTTCATCAGAAGCATTTTCATGGGCTTCCATCTTCACTTAATTTTCTTTATTTCAATTCCACGTCCATTCATTGGCTAATTCTGCCTCCTTCGAATCCCCGCCTCCTATGAAGGATTATCCCTAAATTTCTATCCAACTTGGGTCCTTTTTTTTTTTTTAACATTTCTCCTCCTCTAAATATAAATCCTAGTTCCTGGATCTGCCCTTCTCCATCTCTGGCTTCACAATCCCAATTATATATGAGCTGTCTAGAGCCCTCAACTAAACTTCCAGATCTACTTGGGGAACTGGCTTCAAGGTTGAATATTGGAAGCCAATACCTTGGTCCTTTCCTTTCTTGAGAGCCAATCTCTTGTTTTCTTCCTTTCTCAACCTGACTTTCACCCATTATTCTACATGACTTCAAAGACTTATTTACAAACCATATATTGCTTCAATGCTTACTAATGACCTGTTGGTATTTACTTCCCGGAAACTGCCTGGGAAGTAAAGGTCATCATGACCAAGTCAAACATTATTTCCCAATGAAAATTAGCCACCCCACGTTCTCTAAATCCCCCAGTTTCCAGTTCTCAGTGATTTTGATCACTCTCATCTGTTTCTTGCACTCCATTAAACATGGCAAAAGGAGCCCTGGTGGTGCAGTGGTTAAGCACTCTGTGGTTAATCTAAAGGTCTGTGGTTCGAACCCACCAGCTACTCCATAGGAGAAAGATGTTGTAGTCTGTTTCTGTAAAAATTACAGCCTTGGAAATCCCATGAGGCAGTTCTACTCTGTCCTATAGGGTCACTATGAGTTGGTATCAACTCAATGGCCACAGGTTTGGTTTTAAATATGGCAAAAAGTTCTGATGATTTTTCCCTCACATTGTTTTTTAATTCATTTTCTTTTACTATTTCTAATTACAATTCTAATTGTAATCAAGTTTCTTCTACCATTTCTAATTGCAAGTCTAATTGTAATCCAGTTTCCAACACACAGAAATATCAAATCAATGTTGGCAGGAACTTTAGGAACCATTCCCTGCAGTGGCCCCTATAATTTTATGTTTCATTGAATCATTAAGAATATTAGTAAATGCATCAAATTCCCATCAGTTCATAAAAATAAAT